TATGAGATATTGCAATGACAATTAAGAGCACTGACAAATGCCTCATCATAGCCTGAGAGACATCAAATCAGCACTGCCAGCAACAATGCACATCTCCAGAATGGCACAGAGCTGCTGCAGAAAGGTGCCAAGTGGGCCATGAGCACCTGTCTCAGGGAGCTTGACCAGACACCTCATTTGCTCTTTACTGGGGAAAAACCAGACCCACAGGACAACTGAGAGAGAAATCATCATTGATAGCTACAGCACCTAGGTCTGCAGTGATACCTGGCTAGACAGTCAGCTGCAATCAGTAAATTTCTGTCTCTGAATGGTTGCCTCTGTCCCTGACTGAAAGACAGCTTCCAGAGGCACAATGTGGAATGAAGACAAAGGCAAAACAATTAACATGCTCCTCCAAGGAGGCAAACAAAATCTTGAGTTCTGCATAGGATTTTGTGATTGGATGAGGGGCTTTGGTCTGTGAGCTGACCTGGACTTCATATCCTTTTGGATAAGAAGTGCCTTTTACACTCTCAGTTGTCCAAGGCTCAGGTACTCAAGAATCTGTTGGTTTAGGGACAGCTTCACAATGAAATGCTTGGCAGAGGAAAGGGCAGCAGAGCCTTAGCTGACCTCTTTCTTGGGACAAGCATGGTCAAACAAGAAATTGTGACTGAACTGTTTGTACTGCTTTGCACAGCTGTGCTGGACAGGGCAATCCATTGTCAGCTGTCTCAGGTAGTCTTTCAGCTGCAGGAAGGTTTGCTTATTTTCTCTAGACCCCATGTCAAGAAGACTGTATAATACCTTTGTGTGTTGACGCTATGCTGATGATCTGCTCTGATCCAGTTCATTTGCTCATGGATATATTCTGTTGCTTAAAACTGACCTTGCTTCAACTATCAGTTTGATCACAGAAAACCACAGCAGACCTCTCAGAAGTAGCACATCATGCTTTTATCACACATTATCAAAGCAGAGTTCATTATCCTCGCTGTATTAACTTATTGTGGCTGTGTTCTAAACCTGAATCTCCAATTCTTGGAGAGAAAATATGACTTTTGTATAACTCATGAAACAAAGCTCTATATGAAATGTATACAAAGCTCTTTACAGGTCCAGAACCAGTACACTATACAAAAGTCAAATTCACCAGGTATGAAAAAATGCCACTGGGAAAATTTTTATTCTATACTTGCAGTGTGATGGTGTAAAACAAATGATCACTGACAAAACTGCAGCTGCTTCCTGGACATGTTTGTAGGTCCTAAAATACAGGCCATATAGGATGAGCTGGGCCTGTGACACAGGTCTGGGCAGTTCTGTAATTCATACATGATAGGCCAGATGGGGAATCATGGTTGTTTAGCAGAGAGGCTTGAAGGATATTTGAGAGGGAGATTTGACTGAGTTAAATACACTGGCCAAGACTTATATGTAGTAATGGAAGACCAGTGTGGAGGAAGTAGAACTAAATCCCTGTGAACACAAAGTGTCCCTGAACCAAAAAGGGATAAAACCTGAAAATAGTGGCACAAATCTGAGGCTTACTCTAAACAGTGCAAGAAAATACCTTGCTCAATGTAAACACATAGATTCAAAGCATCATAGAATATCTCAAGTTGAAAGGGACCCTTAAGGATCATTGAGTCCAATTCCCTGCTCCTTGCAGGACTATCTGTATATAAACCATATGATTAAGAGCATCATCCAGATGCTTTAAAGTATCTGGAACCATCCCATTGAGGCTAGATGTCTTCTCCAGCATCTGTCTGATTGGTAAACAGTTCCTTGCTTTGGTAAGAGGCAAAACTGTCCTTCTTTTCCTTGTAATGTCACCAGCATGTTTCTGTGTGTCAGGACCACCTGGACACCTATTAACAAATAGCTAGGAAGATCTGAGTAGAATAAATATACACAACTCATTACTGGTGTTTGAACAGATGATGAAGATTTTTGATTAACAATGCACCTCCATCCACATACTAATACATATTTTATAGGTAGGGATGATGTTTTCTGAGAAGCACTTATATCATAAGAAAAAGCAGTCAAGCTTTTTAGGCCTTCTTAAAGGCTGAAACAGAAGCAGTAGGCCTGACTTAAAAGAGGTGAAAATTACTCTGTGCTTAAGTATAGATATGTATCTGTCAGATTATCTGTGGGAAAACAAAAAAATCCCAAACTAAGCCAAACCACTTGGCTGATACCTGTGGAGTACAGATCTAACAAAAAATAACACTTCCACTACAATCTTGTCTTGCTTAAGCCCTCATGCTGCCTTGGTGACTACTCTTCAAAGAGAATGTAGATTTCTGTGGCACTTTTATTGTCATAAAAGGAAGCAGACTGAGGCAAAGAACACTGCACTGCCTAAATCTGACAGCAGTACAGGAGCCTACCTCTTCTTAACAGAGATCACAATCATGTCCCATATGTTCAAAAGAATTATGTTATACATATTTCTGAAATTTCCCCCCCTCTCGTTTTTTAAAATCATATAGTGCTTTACAGAGGTCAGAATGGTTTTTTTACTGTTTGTCCATTCTATTATTTCAATACAGAACAATAGCTTTTATAGCTGAGATATATTTGCTATTGTATATTATGATTGTCCCACAGACCATGAACTCCCCTAGCTGGATTTCACAGTTCCTCTGCCAGCTGCCAGGCCATTAAGTTGCTCTTGGAATATCTAAGAAATACGTTGTAAGTATATACTACAAACACATTTGGAATTGACTACTCTTTACTTTGTCTAGAGCTACATTTGGTATTAAACCCCAGAGAATAAAAGTTTGTTATAAAACCACATTGATAAAAAGATCTTTTTTAGATATCCCACATTTTCAGAGAAAATGGGCCTATTTTTGACTTGCATCTCAATTGGTTTTATCACATGTACCCTTATTTCCAGTTTTGCTAGTGGAATAATCAGCCAAGTCCTGTTCTCCCTTTTCTCCTGTTTAGCATGGTTCAGCTGCACTTTGTCCATTCATGGAAAGGCCCAATGGTATGTTACTACAATCATAATAACAAATTGACTAATTATAGACAGATTGACTAATAACTGCTAATTATGTGCTCCATCACTAAGGTTTTCACATATTTTGGTTTTACTGCCATCCCAGTATCTAGTTGCAAATGAAGCTTAAAGGAACATGACCATTATTTCCCAGTCTTTCCTCCAGCCCACTGTTCCTGATGTAATGGTATAAAGCACTGTTACACAGAATAAAAACCCTAATATTTGCTGTCCCTTCAATCAAAACCAAACCCATTGAAACTAAAAACTGACCTAATACCATTAAATTATTTTTATGGTGTCAAAAGTCAAACTTCTGAAGGGCAGCAGTGGGTGGGTCACAGTTCAGACTGTATAAATCCCCAAGGGCTCAGTGAGTATGTCTACATACAGCTGGAAAGCTGTATTGCCTTTGGTGCTGAAGCTCAAAAGGTAAGCATTTCTCTAGGAAAATGTACCTTCTCACTATATTATTTCTTGTTTATGACTAAACTTAAAAAGAAAGCAATTACTGTGTTGTGTTTTATATCCTCAAGTACTGAATATTTACATGATATCCTCTACAAATCTTCTCACTTGTGTGTATGCATTCTATTTTATTATGTGTTAATTTGGGTATTTGGGGTTTTGGGTGATTTTTTAAAAGTTATTCTTTGTGCTTAAAATATTATTTTTGTGCTTAAAATATGATTTTATTACAGAGCATCTTATCCTCCCATTCAGTATCTTTTTAAGTTTAATTTTGGCAGTAAAATAAGTTTGCTTGGTTCACCTCTGGTTCAATAGAGTCAACTGAGAGCAAACCTGTGGCATTCAGTGAATTTGCTAAGTTTATTTCAGTGTGAAATTTATCTATCAGTGCATCCCTGGAAAATACAGCTGGTATATATACACAAGATAAAAAGGTGTGTGGGTGTACACATGTACATTTTTAAACACATGAGTCTGGTCATGAAAAACCTTGGTGGAGTTTAAGACTCCAAAGATGAACCTGAGATCCCAGCATTTAGCTCCTGCATAAGGGGTTGGATTTTGAGAAACAGCAAATT